AAATGAAGGGGTATGAATACTTTCGCAAGGCACTGTAATTATTTTATATACAGTCAAATTTTGATTATTTAGATTTTTTTATATTTAAAATATATTTAGATTTTATTTATATTGGTGACAGCAGAAATAATTGCATTATTATTATTATTATTATTGTTGTTGTTGTTGTTGTTGTTGTTTTTGTCATTCAGAAAATAATTATGTTGATTTTTTTATGTAGAATGATGATGATGATATACTTTAACATTATAATTCATTTATCAAATACTTTATCATATAATTTATTTATATATGCAGGTTGTTTTAGTTTGTTATTTTTATGTATTATATTTATTTACTAATATATATTTTTTCATTATTATTATTATATTGTCATATTTAATATGTTATATTTATTAATATAATATTTATATAATATTCCTCTCTCCCTTTCTTTTTTATTGCAATTTTCATTGCAATATTTTTTTATTCTCTCTCTCTCTTTATGTGTAAACTGTGATTTATGTATTAGTCTTCTCCTTTCAATAATAATAATAATAACAAAAAACAATAATGTTACTTTGCTAATGTAGAATTATGAAATGTTTATTTTGCTTTTTAATTATAAATATTTATTATATTTTTAGTATGTATGTATGTGTGTGTATATATATATTATGCTAACCATGTTCCTCTCTGTGTTTTTCTCTCTCTCAGGCCCCTCAACAGATGGGCACATTGGCGTTCTACAGGTACGAGCAGCCCATCGTGGACTACTGCCAGGCTCACCAGACCCTGCACATGAACAGGGGCTTTGAGCCCCCGTCCCAGGCCCTGGAGGGGCTGGGGGCACGAGAACGCTGCACCGTCCCATCCGCTGGCCTCCTTCCTTCCGTGCCTGCAGCCCCTCTGTCAGACATCCGCACCCTACCGCAGTGAGCCGGAGCTGGACTCGTCCCCGTCGCCTGCTCTCCTCCACGAACGTCCCCGGGGGCGTACTCTCTACCCCCAACATGAACCCTTCGCCAGACCGAATCACAGATATATGGGACAGCGTGATGGCCTACAGACTCTCAGGAGAGGACTCTGTCTTTGTCGTGAAGTGGGTTAAACACTCTCGGGTTTGTCATTCGCAAGAATCATCATTGTAGTGTACGATCGATGTGTTTGGAATTGGGGGCAAAAAAAGCATTTTATTCTGGTATTTCGGGCTTTTTGTGAGCTCAACCCTCTAAATTATTCAAAAGCATCATGCTGCCGTCTCAAATGGGAAATAAATATCAAGTTTGATTGACTTAACAGCACGCATACTCACAAGATTGGTGTTCGTTCTCCCATAACCAGAAGTAATTAAACGTAAACCAGCGCCCCTTAAATGGATTCGAGGAATTTCTGAGCATAAAAATCCCTTTCATCTCTTTCTAATAAGGCCTTTCAGAACGACTCCTGCCTTGTGAAGTCAGCGAGAATTGCTGTATATGAAATTGCCCAAATTTAATTCCTTAAGGTGAGCTGGCGAATTTGAATTGTAAATGATAATATGACCCTCACTTGATGGCTTCTCTATTGTGAATCTTTAAAACGAGTCTTGATCGTTCGGTATTACGATGAAAGAACCCATCATGCCATGCCCGTTTTACTCTGAAAATCACTGACAGCTGTGACATAATTTATCAGTGCTGTTTTACACCGACCGTGGAAAATGTTTGACACAATCGGTGAGGTTTTCATTTTGAGTTTCCTTTCAGTTTTCAGATGTTAAAGGCAGGGTATGTAATTTTTCAAAAACACTTTAGAAAACTGATTCGGGCCGAATAGCAAAACAAACTTGTAGCCAATCAGCAATAAGGGGCGTGTCTACTCGTGATGTGGAACTGGGTCAGTCCTGTTAGGCTTTGTTGAACTGTTAAAAATACATATGAAAATGTGGAAATTTCACAAAGTACTTCTGTAAAATGGTCTTAAAAACTTTCAGGTCGACATCAGACACTTAATTATAACACGATGCTGAGAAACTGTATGTGAGGAGGGTTTTTTTTCTTTTAAACTGTTGATATTACACTGTTTTTGTGATTCATTCAAGATGTTGTTTTCCCTCCAAAATGATGCCACTTCCTGGAGGATGATGACAAGAATTTTACACATAAATAACAATACACATTTTTCGAGGATATGAAAATGTCCAGCATAGCAGGAATGACCCACATTCTTTCTTGAAGCCTATTGGTCGTATCCTAAATTATGGTCACTATACGTCCTCTTTTTTTTATTTCTAAATTGCCTTAAATATCCAGATTTGGCTTTGTTTTGCTTTTGTTTTCAGACTTGCTGAAGGTAATGAGCGGTTTGACTAATAGCGTGCAGGCATTGTACATAATCGACCAATCGTGGTTTGTGAGAGGCGGGATCTACAGACAACGGTCAAAGCAATGCAAATACGCGTCCATATAATGTATGAAGACTGTAGAGAGCACGTCAACATGAAAACAAAGCCAAAACCAGCACATTTTAGGCCATTTAGAAATCCTGGATGGAAAAGGAGGACATATGGTCACCCTACCTTTTTATACCCATTAAGAAAGTGGATGTATGTTGTGGTGTACTACGTTAGTACCATAAACTGTACTATCATCATCATCTTGCACCTCTGTCACGGTATCATCATCTATTGGACATCATGCCATATTTCGGAGATTCTCGGATGCTCCATTAAATGACATGGAAATGGATTCCTTTTCTGTTTTACCACAACTCACATTCCAGCTGGAACTGTACAAATAAAGACAGTGGGAGTGACTTAGAGACACTATAAAGTGAAAAACACACTTCCCAGACTGGACTACTTGTCTTGTACATATTATGTAAATTAAAAGAAGGATGTCTTTGCTTCTACAGAAACACAATCTTGTTACCGAGAAGAGGAGCCTTATCTTTAATCCAGGAGGAAGCATACATGCATTGGGTGCGTGTGTGTGTGTGTGTGTGTGTGTTAGTGTGGATGCATGAAAGTGCTAATGGAAAAAGACAGAGAAGATGGTTGTGTTAGAATATTAGCCTGCTGTTTGAAAAGAACTTTGGTTTCAAAAAAATGTACTTTCCTTTGCGATTTTACATAATTGCAACATGTGTTTGATGCATCTGTCAGGTGGGATGGAGCGTCAAACACCTGTCCTTCAATAATGATTACAGTGATTTTCCAACCAAATGTTTTTATACCAGTATTTATGTGGGAAAAAAGGATGATAACCAGTATATACTTTTACGTTTTACGTTTTACGTTCTCCCGACCCCTTCAATGCAGTACTTGCGTCTGTGGATCGGAATGACCCGTTTCTGTTCTGATGCCAAGATTGTGATGATTATTTTAAGCATTTGACTGTGTTTCCCTGTATCTTAGCAATGAGGTCAAAATATTTCATTTTATCTATTCAACAGTTATAAAGCGTAAATTCGTTTTTTTTAATATGTCTGACTGTGTCTTATTTTCTATTGAGCTAGTACCATGTACAACATGCCAGTATGCTATTGTGTAGAAGACTTGGTGGCTCTTTACAAACTGTTTACATGTCTTGTTGTTGTTGTTGTTGTTTTTTACCATCTGACACCGTGAGCACCATATTTTAAAATGCCACAGCAAGTTCGAAGAGAAACTAAAATATCCATTTGGAAGTTATGTCCCACTTTAAAATATTCCACTGTGGAAATGAATGGGAACCAAAACTGTTTGGTTACCAATTATTCTTCAAAATATCTTTGTTGTTGTTCAGCAGAAAAAAAACTAAGTCAGAATTTAAATTTTTGGGTGAACTATCTCTTTTGGGAGAACACCTCTTATATGAACAGCCCCTTGCATTTCATTCAGTCCATTTTAGATATTTTAATTCATTCACTCGTTCCACAAAGAAAAGGAAGAAAAAACACAACTAGCAAATGAATACAGCAACCTAAAAATGCACCAATCCAGAACATTAAGGACCTTAAAGAAGCAGAAGTACGCTCCAGTAAAGTTAAAAGCACATATGGCATGTCGGTGTTGAATGGTTATGTATTCTTCCTTGTTCAGTTCATTATAGCGTGTGCATCCATCAAAACCTTCGGTTTTGTACTGTCAGTTTGATCACCTTCAATCACGGACGCTTGTACTCGCTCAATTTGACATTTGGGCTCTCACCCTGAGACTTCAAATTCTCAAATTCTTTGCCCATTAAGTTTCATTCCTGAGAGAAACAGTAGTCAATGGTGCAAAGCAGCCATAAGTGGAGAGGACAGGAGAGAAAGAGCCCATGTTGTAAAGATGCTAAAGGCCTTTACAGCAGCATGCTAACAAATATCTTTTGTACTGAATAGGCAGCAAGGCCCTCATCCCTGTTGACTATTAGATTTCAATTTGCCTCTGCTTTATTCACAGGACCTAGTTTTGAAGAGAAAGTGGACAAAAGTTCCTGGCGCAGCAGAAATTGCTTCATCAGCGTCTTTCTCAGACGTTTGGACAAACAAGTGCATTGTTAGAATCGTGCCAGAGTTTCTTTCCTCCACCAACTAGCAGCATCTCACTGGTGTCACTTAGTTTTGGAAACAGTTTATGACATCACAAAATTGGCTCATAAATATTCATTTTAGATTATGCACATAATTTCAGTAATTATTTTTGAATAATTTTCATACATATATTGTATTGTGTCATTTAATTCGATAACTTCCATCCTGATCACTTGTGACTAACAAAATCTTTACTAGCTTGGACTTCTTGTATTCTCCAAATAGCCTACACATTTTTAACATTACCACTAATTACATGAAATAATGACAAAAAAAAAAACGTTTTTCACGTATTATTATTATTTATGTGTGGCTTTTGCAAACACAGTAAAGTTTGTACACTAATTCTATCCTGGGAAAATAGGTAAAATAAAATAAAATAATAAAATGAAATACATAGGCTACAGTACATACATAAATAAATGCATACTCACTCAATAACTGTAAATAGAAACTATAGAAAGAAACCAAGCTATGAGTCCAAGCAAAATCAATTCAATAAACATAATATAGAATATAAACATTTTATATAATTTAACAAAATGCTATTGTATATTAGTGTATTTTATGAAGTTTCTTGAATATTTAAATCCTGTTCATGAAAACTCAAGGGATATTTGCAAGGGCGTGGTTTTGGTTTGAACATTGGGGGGGTTGAAGTCTGAACTGTTTTAGTAGAGTCCCGGGTCATGCCCACTCATAAGGTTTATTTATTTGTTTGTTTGCTTATATTTATTTTTGTGAAATGGTCTTTTGTGCTATCATCTAATGCAAAGTAGGTTGATAATATAACTGCAGTCAACGTTAACAGTTACTTGTTTTCATAGGATATATATATATATGTGTGTGTGTGTGTTTTATATTATTTAGGCACTTATGGGCTATAGTTTGACTGAATGTTCTAATTCAACATGCCATGTCAATCTAACTTAACATTTTCTTATATTGATATTGTTTATTTCTTACTCCTTAACAGTTCATCAGGCTCTTAATGATTTAATCTATGCCATCTTTTGGAATATCTGAAGGCCACGTACTAGTTCTTAACTGCAGCATTTGTTATAATAAGACTAGCCTATTAATCATTACCAGGCCAATTTTTAACATTACCACTAATTACATGAAATAATGACAAAAAAAAAAAACGTTTTTCACGTATTATTATTATTTATGTGTGGCTTTTGCAAACACAGTAAAGTTTGTACACTAATTCTATCCTGGGAAAATAGGTAAAATAAAATAAAATTATAAAATGAAATACATAGGCTACAGTACATACATAAATAAATGCATACTCACTCAATAACTGTAAATAGAAACTATAGAAAGAAACCAAACTATGAGTCCAAGCAAAATCAATTCAATAAACATAATATAGAATATAAACATTTTATATAATTTAATAAAATGCTATTGTATATTAGTGTATTTTATGAAGTTTCTTGAATATTTCAATCCTGTTCATGAAAACTCAAGGGATATTTGCAAGGGCGTTCTTAACTGCAGCATTTGTTATAATAAGACTAGCCTATTAATCATTACCAGGCCAATAATGACTTTCTTTAAATTAATCAATATAGCATTTGTTATGAAGAAACAACAATCTCCACAGTTGTAATATAAATCTATAGGGAAAAATCTATTCCCTTAAAAGATTATCTAAATTCTACAACAAGTTAGACTAAAATTTACACAATAAATAAGCCTACAATAAAACGTGATAAATTCTAGTAAAGGTGGTCATGAGTAGTTTAAAAAGATTTTAATATATGTTAGTGCTGGTTCAAGACTGTTTTCTCCTCTTTTTGTCAGTCTTTTTAGTTTAATAGCCTTTTTAGATACTGTTCGACTTTCTCCATAGCATTTTAAAGTGACTGTTTCTTTAAATAATTCAAATAGATCACATATTTGCTTCGCGATAGGAATGGCTCGCGCAAATCGTATCACACTTCTCGAGCACGATGGTGAACGCACACACACAGAGTATAAGGTTCCCTTTCAAGGGAACTTCGAACTGCGTCCTCTAGGGGTCGCTATGGGGAACGCCTCGTCGTGACCCGTGTCTGAAGCATACATTGAAAAAACACCAACAAGCGCTGCTCGTGAACTGCGCTTCAGTCATATTGTTCGTTGCTAAATTAAATTT